CACACACACACACACACACACACACACACACACACACACACACAGGTCCTTCTCTAGATCGGCTACACATACATTTAATTTCCCAGTCACATTACTTTTGAGTGCGGCTCATGCATTAGTGCAATCCTGCACACTGATAAGAGTTCTGTTGGGGGAAACATTCTTCGTACGTGGACATGTTTCCTCATTCTCAAATAGCAACTCTGTAGCACCGTGTTTTAAAACCTGCTCCGACACTAGTCGAACATTTCTCATCCTCGTGGACACGTTTAATTTTGAGGGGTCGCTGCCTTTTGGCTGTATACACTGTATACTATAAACATACAGTGGATTATTATGCATTATGTTTAAACTCAAATTAATCCTTGTTGGGGCAGCCCATTACAAATCTGTTCTAAGGGCCGAGATAAACAGAAACAAAGAGATCTGGTTAGGGAAGATCCTGTTGGGAAAAAATTCCTAAACACTCCCAATTCCTCTGGGCTTGTCCGAGCACGATGACATCAGCGCTAGAGTCACACGTCTATCTAAAATATGCAAAAATAACTCATTAATCAACAGCTACACAGCAAGCGGTCTGCATCTTCTTCAGCTGACTGGACGACACAAGAAGGTGTTTAAAAAATAAAAAAAAAAAAAAAAAAAAAGAAGCCGACATTTACATGAATGCATCTCTTACAAAACAGCATGCAGTGCATGAGATTGCATGTGCAGTGTGAGTGAGGGAGCAGATAAGCACACTCAACTCTGGGAGGAGATTGGAGGGGCGGCCACCACGTATATCACACTCAAACCCAGGGGCAGTGTGTGCGAAAAGCACAAGCTTTTGGTATTTGCGAATGACTCATTGGCTGGTTTGTCCATTATTCAGTCTGTCCACCCACACCCAGCGTTGGTAGTGGTGGCCACCAGTCATGCGTTTGTGTACTCCAGTTGCTGGTGCTCGAGTACAGCAATGAGTGGACTTTAATGAGTTACTGGGAGTTGAGCGTGCGTTGTTTTATACCGTGCCAGACAATAAAAAAAGGCCATCACAAGGTCCAAAACACAATAATATTTAATTTATTATCATATAGGTCAAAGACAGGTTGGAAAACCTCACATTTCAGAAGCTGGAGCCAGATAATTTGAGCATTTTTGCTCAAACACATTTCATATTCTCATTCAAAAGATAATCCAACTGGTGCATGCTAAAGAGCTGCTGACGACTCCAGCATTGAGACTCCAGCTCTGGTGACACACTGTTCAGTGTCAGTATACACACTGTTCCGTATACACACTCGAGTCTTTCAGAGGTACAATGATCACACTCTTTGTTACTGTACACGCATTATCTGGGGATAGGAGCTTCTATGGCGATAAATGTCTGTGTCAGCTCACAGTTTGGTACAACAGAGACGACTTAAACTCTCAACTACTTCTGTTTGTACCGGGACAGACAAATATAACAATAAAAGTAAGGAGGGCGAGACTATAAACACAGCAGGACCACAGCGGAGAGAAGTGAAAACAAAACCAAAAAGACAAGCAACTGAAACACAAAAGACACACTCAAGGTCAGAGATAGACGCCATCAGACTTCCTGCCCACACTAGCCATGACAGTAGTTTCAGCTGCAACAGTAGCTCGTACAAACAGCACTCAATGGAAACTGCAACGGCAATTCAAATGGAAACAACGCGGCGACGTCACAGAGCAAAGTACACTGCACTACAGGAGACAGACAGACAGACAGACAGACCACGCAAGGACGGAAAGAAATGTTGGAAAAATAAATATTTTGAAACTCGTGAAGACTTCATAGCTGAAAGGGACAAGTAGTTCTGGGTGTTCAGTATGCTTTGCACTCATTTCTATCACGTATTGCCAGAATCGTGTCTTAACTGCAGCGCTGAAGCTTGTGAAACTATTTTTACTACCTAGAGTACAATTCTGCAGGTATTGCAGTATTAATCACATCCTTCGCTTACTGTGCAGAATTGCATTTGGCGTTCATAAAAGGAGGCTTATTGAACACTGTGAGAACTGGACTGTTCAGGCGACACATCGTTCATTTCTAGATAAATAGTTCCGTGTAAGGTGAACGGAAGCCGGGCGACCTAGAAGCAGCGGATGTCGATAAATCACAAAGACTCACAGAGGACAACAACACTTTCAAAGGCAAATCAATACCAACAGTTAGACCAAGCGCTGCAATTTATCTTTTATCCACAACTACCCCACAGCTCCAGGAAGACATTACTCTCACCTTTTGACCAGTCCTGTGTCTTCTTATCCTCCGTCCTCGTCACAATCTCCGTCTCTCTCTCTCTTCCATCCACTGTTCTTCCCTCTATGGGTTTATTCCCTGTGAACAAACAGGAGGAAATACCATTACTGTCCTCGTCATCGCTGATGCCCTTTGGGTTTTATGTGACACGATTAAAGTGCGTCGATAACTTCAAAGATGTCAGAGTGGGCTCTGGGAATTTGTCAAGATTTTCTGACATTTTATAGATCAAACCATAACTGATTTAATTGAAAAACATTTAACAAACTAATCTATAATAAAAAAAATGGTCTATGGTACTGTGCTTTGAGCATGTTGTGCTTTCTTCATAACTTACCACTTATACTGAAAAGTAATAGTCGTAGTATTACACCAGTGTATATTGCCTGATAACATGAAACCAGATGATAACATCTGACCTCAAAATACCAAAAAACTGTGTACTTAAACCACAACTTTTGACTGATACTACTCTTCCTAGTTGTAGTCTAACTGTGTCCTCTCCCTCGGCGAGTGTCGAGTTTAGCCGCACTGGTCGCAGTGGGTTTGCCATTTAGCCTACAAGAGAAAGCTGCAGGCTACTGTCTAATCCCATAATGGGATTACAACACAGCACTTACTTCAGCTATAAACAGACAGACGTACAGAGATGCTCAAACAAGTCAGACAGAAACCACGGCTGCACCATTAAACGTGTAATCATTTCAATGGTGCATTTAATGGTTTAGTTTGATAATTGCACAGAAGCTCACAGGAATAGGGGAATGAACAAAACTGCATTTCAAATGCAATGTTTGATATGTTGGCAACATTTACGGCATTAAAGAACTAAGATACTTAAAAACAGTAGCAATTCAGTAGCTAAGACTGGTTTTCTCAATCAATCTATCTATATATCTATATATCTATATACACACACACATACACACACACACACACACATCTTACAAACAGCGTTAAGCTGCTGTGAGCAGCAATGATTGGAGCGGATGTTACAGCATCTTTATTACATGGACGTTTAAGAAGTATATGTGGAACTATGGTTGCAGTTTGCCTGATCTGTTATAATCAAACTGAATACACAGTTGCACCATTTTTTTTTCTGCCACCTTCAGTCACCCTCCTCTTCCTCCTCTCTACCCCCCCCCCCCAGAACCAAGTGCTTCAGCAGATGGTTCAGGGTTCAACAAGCGTGGTGGGGGCCCTCCTGGAGAGCACATATACACACACACACACACACACACACACACACACACACACACAGCATCTGTTTATGAATGGACTGACAATTGCCCATCCCCCGACAGCTACAGCTGACAGGGGGGGGGGCACCATGAGTCACTGAAAGTAAAAGGGATGAAGAAGAACAAGGCCTTGGGAACAGGGGGAGGGAAGTGAGACTTACAATTGCATGTTTTATGGGGTTTTTTTTCTCCTCTACTAGTCACAGGTGGGACTGAAACAGGACCAGTGACCCCCACATATCCTCCATTTAAACAGTAACAATTACCAACAGCAGAGTTATACAGCTAACTATAAAGACTCTTCCTCCTGTCAGCACCTTCCATAGCCGCCTAAATAGAAGCACACGATAACAACGTGCAGTAATACAAGCTAAACCTGCTAAAGTCCATCTTGCATCATCGAGGTCACCTGACAGGTGATGAGTATAGGTGATCTTATATCATCGACTAAACACTTTAAAACTGCCGTTATAGTGTTGAAAATGGCAGCCATTTTCACCTTTACATACAAATCACCAACTGATGAAAAGGAATTGCTTTCCCAACAATATCTCGTCTCCAAATATGGTCTTTGTTGAGTTTAAAGTGGATAAAACAACAGTGTGGACAGCTGATTCCACTATTAATTACATACTTTGTAGAGCTGAGAAGGATAAAGAGCAGCAGACAGATAAAAGATGAAGAAAATAGATTTAAAAAGGTCACTAGAGACGTTATGTACGTCTCTCTGTAGCACAATAGATTAGAGTCCAATTAGTACAGTAGATACACATTTCATTTGGCCATTAAAACACGTGCAAGATAGTTTTTAACACGTCGGGTCATGACTTAGTCCTGGTAAACAAAGTGAATCTCTGTCTGCTACATTCTCATCTTGTGGGATTCACAGTGGAGCTCAGATTTCTCTGCCACCCACTCGTCGCTTTTTTCCTGTGTGAACCCTTTTCTGCTGGCTGTCAAATAAAGCTGAAAGACTTTAAAAATAATCAAACTATATTTGGGTTTCTGAGAAGGTAGAGATCAGAAATCGGAGGTTTTAGACTACTGCATACGGAGACCCTGTGGGAGTGTGTGGTTGTTGTTTTTCACTCCCAGAAGTGAGTCATGCAGTGAAGCCAGCAAGGCTTTTCAAATTTACAGGAGACGGAGTATTGATTGCATCTGCAGCCTTGTGGATGTAGCCACACGAGACATCCACCCAAACATAAACCGGCAAGACACGAGCATCCACAAAAACACTCGCAAGAGTTCGTCTGTCCCGGGAGAAGAAAAGCCAGAGGGTAGTCGCGTGGCTAATTTGCATGTACAACACCAGAGTATTTGCATCAATTTGCATTAGCATGTTCTCACAGAGGCTTAACACCGGAGGCTCGGTTCAGGGAAGCCATCGCTCAATTAGTGAATGACAAAGAGTGTCTCCCCATCACACACAGCCCGACGGGGAAGGCTGAAAACCACAGTTCAATGTTGCTGATAGCAAAGGAGGGAGGGGCAAGTTGTGATTCAAAGTATTTTCTACCTCAAGAATGTCTTATTGACGAGTTACAGTTTACTTTGTCGTTATTGTCTACAGTTAAATATATCTAACTATAAGTGGGCCGTTAACAACTGAGGACATACGTGGTTATAAGCAGCTGTGAAATTGAAGTCAATGGTTTGTTTGTAAGCTTCACTAATTTGATTCAAATCTCGAAGCCAAAGACATTGTTGTCCATCTACGCTGCTCAACAACTTCCTTTAACTATAATTGTCTTTGTGTTGATTGTATCCCGTCTGAGCCCACAAGGGTCAAAAGCACCAAATGCTCCATTTCAGCTCCTCGCTCGTCTTTCCAGTCTCACGTCCATCTGCAGGTGGGGCTTTACTGCTCGGAGGGGCAACGGTCAACTACCCGATCCCCAATTAACACCGTAGGAATTCATAGCACTGCTGTATTAAATTCCAAACACGATGCTCTCATCTATGACAGCACGGAGACATTTTTATGCAAGTGCACATCGCTACGGCTTCCACATAAACCAGCTGTGAAAACTCAAGATATTTTTAGACAAGGATGAAAACCTGTTTGGCAACCAAAAGTGAAAGTGAAGCCGGCCAGCCAGTATATTGCTGTACAAAAATCAACGGAAATATCACTAGTCACAACTAATGCCATTGTTTTTTATTATTGTGTTATGACTATGAATGCCACAGGCCCACGAGCAATAAACTGCACAACGACACGGCTTCAGAGGACAACACTTGATCAGCTTTTGCCCCGAAGGATGAAATCACCACTGGTGCCACAAATGCTATAAATTGATCCCACTTCATGATGCCGCGGTTTGCCTTTTATAGAAACATCCATCAAATGATATTTGTAAACTTTAGGACAGGACGACTTCTTTCAACACGAAAGAAAAATCACTTTCAAAAGCTATGAACTGAAACCAAAGCGACACTGTACTGTTGGCAGTTTCTATCTGGGCGTATTAAACAACAAATTGCTGCCATTTCAGAATTTATTTCTTAAATTGGGAGAAACATAATTTAGGCTCATATAAAAGGATTAGATTAAGTTGATTGTGTGTCGTGTTTATTTTCTTAAATTCCCACAAGACAAATCGTTAGTGTGAGAAAGCAATGAAACTGCAAATGAAACATGTAATGTGGAGAAAATTATTAGATTACCATAGTAATTAGTGTTTCTATACACAGAAGGGTATTAATATAGTTTCCCTTGCTTCAGCAGCAGCACACCCACATACACACAGATGGAAAATGTGTCCCAAGGCTGAGAAGATGTCAAACACCGTCAACTGGATTTACTAACTAATTCTAAACTAACCAGCATATTGAAATACCCCACAAAGCCATTCACTAAATATTATTTTCACATTAAATACATAAGACATAACAGAAACTGGACTAAATCTGCATTAAAAACAAGGCAGTTGACATGTTTTATGTCTCTCGTTTAAAAAAAACATCCTCAAAAACTGACAGAGTTGACGCTCGGACTCTCTTGTACAAACAATCAAAATCCATTTCAGGAAATCGAGCATGACAACAAGATTCATAAACAGATTGAGGATCTAGAAAACAGACTATAAGCGCTGCCCTTAGAGCCGGTTAATGAACCAGTCGTGGTCCACGGCGCTATTGTGCGTCTGCAACTGTATGGACACAATGAGCTGCACAAACACCTCTCCACACACAAAACACCAGCACTCTGGCTTCTCATTTAACAGTTTTTTTAAAACAGCAAAGCTTACTCAGCACAATGCGGCCTAGACCAACCCAGACCCTCCAATTCAATTCAAACGGAACTGCATGTGCTTGCATAAGCAGCAGCAGCAGCAGCCCATCCCCAGCAACCCCCCCCCCCACCACACACACACAAACACCCCTTTAGTAGCCCACCCCCCACACACACAGGTCATGCCATCATCTAAAGAGAAGTGGCCAGAACGTGACATAACTTGGAACGCATGCTCTTAAAATGAGTGCACGTGTATGTGAATATTTTTAAGGTGGCACACTCACCTGTTTCGATGCTTCAGCTTCTTTGGTGGCAACAGCTTTCAATTCCAAATCTCTGAAAGACAAGGAAGAGATATGACGGTTAATCTCAGAGTTATAAAAGACCAGATTAACCTAAACAAACCTCAATGAACAAATAAAAAGCTACCCTTCATGTGACTGTTACAGTTTTATTGATTTACGGTGATAAACAACAACACATAAAACACGTGAGCGCGTTACACAGACGCTAAACCTGAAATGGTAAACAGGACTTCATTACAGTGTCTCAAATTAATTATTGACTGTGCACGGGTCAAAAGGCATGCACCTCACCCACTAAATCTATGCAAGGCCAAGCCTACACTGACAAACAATAGGACTCATCAGCAATTCCTTCAATGAAAAGTATTTTAACTGGCTAGTCGATGTGGAAATGCAGGTTGAACTACATAACAGGTAATTTGCACGGATCAGAGTCCCCCAAATTCAGGCTCCACAAGGTGAATATAAACAGTGTGTGTGTGTGTCTGAAAATTATAGATAACGACACGGAGTGTGAGTGTGTAGGTCAGAGTTACAGCTCGGGTCCTGATCGGCCATTATCTCAGCTGTCGCCTGATTTACAGCTTAACCAACATGGCTTCTTCTCTCGGAGCCTGGTGTTTTTTCCAGCAGCAGCCAGAGACCCAACATGCCTTAACATGGCATCTGATTGCAATTAAAATTATTATGTGATCTGCCCTCGTTTTGCAGCAGCGTCGTCGGGTCTATGTAAACAGTGAATACGACTGTAAAAACCAGCAGAGCGGAGGTCTAGTGTTACGTTAACCAGCCTCTCTATCTGACCGCCGACAGAGTGTTAAAATACAACTATGCACCGAGATATACAACTATAAAGCTTCACAATTTCATCATGAAAGTTCCTTCCGTCACATATTGTTTAAGGACATTTGAACAGATGCGTGCCCCCTTTGCATGTCACCAAACAGCCGGGAAATCAGTCGCACTAACCGCAGAGCGGACCTGCGTCGTCAAATTAGCATTAGCTGCTAATGCTAATGTTACGAAGCAGCTAGTTAACTTATCCAATCTAGCGATGACGGCCTTTTAACAAATGCAGATATACATTATAACCACCCACAATGGTAGTTTACTGATTACAAAATACATTGAAGTAATTATATTTAACGAAATACATACATTTATCTTTTTTACAGATATATACGCACAACCGGTGAGCAGAGGTTAACCGATGCTCGTACTAGTTAGCGTTAGCATAAAGGTTTAACTGCCAACAAATCCCTCGAATGACCAGACATCTGCAGACAAACACTATCCGTCGATGCGTTTAACATTTACGTTTCCAAACCACAATGCAACCGAGCCAACAGCTAGCCGAACAGGAAGCTAGCTAGCTTAGCTCAGTCATTGCTAACTAAACAACAGCTAAACTTATCTAACGCTACACCAGTCCCCGGGTCTCTCCCTCCCTGCGCACATTAGCTCACCACAAAGAAATTATTCCTCTGGTCAAGAAAACGTCGTAAAGCAACCTCACCTCATTGAAGTATAAAGTGCAACCGAGTGGATTGAAAAGCCGGTTGTAAGGCTACAAGAATTTCAACGCGTTTTGCAGCATCTACGAGGGGAGGCATTCGTCCTGCATGATCGCCATTTTCTTAACTCGCTGCTGGCTAACCTTCTTCTCTCGCTTGAGCTCAGCTTTCCCCTGCTCTCTTTCTCTCTCTCTCTCTCTCTCTCTCTGCGTTCACTACAGCTCTGACTGTTTCTGCAAGGGGGGAGGAGAGAGGAGACAGTGGAGGAAACACGTTCACCACTTCCTCTGACTGAGAAAAAACACAGCCCTAAAGGTAGACAAATGTTTTAGAGAGAAGAGCAAAAAGTATGTTTAAGCAAAGCAGGTTCCCCATTATTTATATATGTATATGAGGGCTACAGATAAGCACATAATGTTCTACACCAGGGTCAAAAAAATGTACCCCTCACCACCCTTTTATATTATGGCTGGAAACCAAGAATACCCTTTTTAATGTAGACCAACCATAAAGTGTTTAATTCGATAATTGTAACTTAGACAACTAAATGTGTTTCATGCTTTACAATTTTTAAAAATAATAACAGTAAAACACAGGTTAAATTTACTGTCCAGTAAACCAACTTTTAAATACAAAAACATGTCAAAGTTTTAAAAATACATGTCAGAAGAGTGGTATTAAGTTAAGTTGGTATATTGTCTGTATTCAGATTGAAGAATGCTTCGTACAAATGGCCAGCTGTCGGTCAGCATTATGTAATGTGTGTATTCTAGGTTGATGACTGTTTTGAATTTTATTTGCACTCTGTGATTTGTCCCGTCCAGCAGACAACTCTATTAATTATTCAGTAAAAAGTCTCACTGAGTCCTTGTAGAAACATTAGCTGATGATATAACCAATGGCCTAAAATACACGGTAAAGTTACATGTTTTAAATTCATATTTCATGGTTTCTACAGAGTTTTACCATTATTTATTTTAATATCCTTAATTAAAAGTTTCAGAATAAGAGGATTGTTGAGTGCAGTTATTTAATCTTGTTTTGTTTCTGCTCCTCTTAACAGATTTAATTATCATCCAAAAACATCCAAGCATTCCTTTACGAGTGTAAAGAAAGAACAGCCTGATATACAACAAATATAAACTATAAAAAGTGGAACTGTTGGTAAATTGGTATTTAAATTGATTCTAGACTGTAGCATCAATGATGTTCTCACTGGGAGAAGGGACAAACAGGCTTTCTTTCAGAGGATCCAGAGTCAAAACCCCACATCAACATACACTAATCCACCCTGCTGAAGTGCCCTTAAGCACAACATGAATCACTCTTGTCTCTCCGTAAGTGTTTCCAACCTCTGATCTCTGTGAAGTAAGAACGCCTTTGCCAATCATATGATGAATCTTAGAGAAGCGTTGTCAACACGTGCAAAAAAATACCTGAAAATGTGTTTTATATGTGCTATGACTCAGCAATGTTTTTACAAAATCATAGTTTACTTTTTATGCTTTTTTAAGAATGTTTAAAATGTTGTAATGACGATGACAGCGACTGTTATTACTGGTGAAATTAGCACTCATGCCTGAATTATTAGTAGTAGGACTATCACTGCTGCAAATACTATCACCTCCAGCGCTTTAGGTTCTCCTGGACTCAACACAGACTTACAAACACAAGAAGAATTTCCGCGTCTCTCTACTGTTTTCACAACCTTGTTTTAGCCCTCCATGCATGGCTTTGGGTTTTTTTTTTATATAAAAAGCAATGCTAAAAAGATTTTTTTTGAAAGAGACAAAGACAAGAGAGGAGAGAGATGCCTCAACAGCAGAGAAACAAACACAGTGTGGAATCTGCCAACTGCTACGTTTCACCAAACGAGACAAAGGCTGGTGCTGCTTACAGGAGAGACCGGCAATACATGTGTGCAAAGCAGTGACCATTGACCCACCAATGGCAAAAACAACCCCCATCCTTGTGCATAGATTACCTCCCTTATCTGTGTGTATTTGACTGTGAGGGGGAAAGAGAGAGAGAGGTAGAGTTCATCTACTGCCAAGTAATGATTTTATCTGACCAGGCATCAAAGGGAGATTAGATTTGACAGCATATAAACAAGTTGGCAACCTCTCAGCGCTGGGGGATCATGGCAAATGCTACTCATATCTGGGTTTCCTGGTAGATTCCTGATACCGATGATGTGTTTGTGACGATTATATAATTGGCCTCCAAAATGGGAATATTTTGAATTTGTTTGTCTGATATTTGGGATTCTTGCCGCCTTCATGTACTTGTTTGAAGTTCCTACTTTGCAGCTGTCCAGTTCTAATTACAAAGTCCGGCACATTGATAAACAGCTTTATGAAAGAAGCTATAAAACAGCCCTTCTCTGAAACTTGAATCACAGTTGCTTTCAAAGCTCCCACTTGTAATTATTGTACATCATAGCGGACGTTGATGTGCATGTCCGTAGTTGCATTTCAATATTTCCAGTTGCATTTGAATTCACATGTAGTCACTCACATGTAGTTCTTTGATGTCGTGTACAGTTTGTCTGGATTATCCTGGCAGCTTTGACAAATGAATGGTAAGACTGGGAGGCTTTGAGCTAAACGCTAATGTCAGCACGCGAACATGCTTGTAATGACACGGTGATGTTAAGCAGGTATGATGTCTACTATGTTCACATATCAATAATATAGAATGTCTCTCACAAACAAATGCCACAATTCAACCACAGGGGGATTGTGAGGACAGCAGGGACGCTACAGGACACACTGACATGAAAGCAGATAGTTTGGAGCACTCTGACACATGCACGCAAACAGAACCCCAGAGTTCACGTGCCTGTCGGTTAGCAATAACGTGTTCGGATGTGTGTGTTGTTTGGTGCCGAGAGAAACTACATTTAGACAGAATGTCTCAAGGACTCTGACTCTTGCGAGTTCAAGAAGTCAAAAGTTAGGTCAACTACCAAAGATCTGGGTGTCGGTCTGTCTTGTTCAGGGAGAGTCCACTCACGCGTCACAACATACGAGGCAAACTAGCGTTAGATTAAACTGGTAGACTGTAACAAAACAGAAAAGTCCAGAGACAGCCAGCGTAAAAACACCTGAACAAAGCAAGACAGAGAAGAATAGAACAGTACAGATTAGAGTAGCTAGAGTCAGGTCACCAGCACTAGTAACACATATAGCCAATGTGATTATATTTCTACTTCTGTGGAGCACAAAAGCTCCACTTTTTTAATCTTAAAATGGCCCAGAAACCAATACCCGATAGTAACCGGGATGTGTGTGCGTTTTTGGCTGCTTGTCAGAATAAATTAATGAATCTACAATTTCGAAAGCCAGCTAAGTGTACGCATGAATGGGTTTTACTGCTGGAGAAGAGCAGGGCAGGGACGTCACAGAGTTTGGTAATAGTCTGTGACAAGGCAGTCACCTTGACAGGCAGAGCAGGCCAAGGTAAAATCATTCACTCACACGCACACACACAACACACACACATAGTTCAGGAAACGAGCACATGTACACGTGTGTCCACATTTACTGCCCTTAGCACTGGCTGTGATAAAGACATGCAATCGCGTACTTGTGCACACACCACCACCTCAAAAGCTGCACATTCATGAACAAACGTGTTCTTTTAGGGGGATGTGATGTTTTATATGTCGCCGCATTTTGCTTGTTTTGTGGGTTGGGTTCAACCACAGCCACACACACAGACTTGCAGGAACACACACATATGTCGGTCACAGTGATCGGTTGCAGCTGCAGGTGTTTGGAAGCGTGTCAAAAAAATGGGAAGACCATTGTATTGTGCTGTGAGAGAGAGAAAGAGGCATTGAAAATTGGACTGAAATGTGAATGTGCTCAAGGAAAAAGGAGAGTGAGCGGGCAGGAGAAGGGAACAGAAAGTTAGGGAGGAGAGAGAGAGAGAGAGAGAGAGAGAGAGGGATTATGGGAAAGGAGTTGAGAGTGCGAGAGAGAGACGGAGAGACAGACAGACAGACGGACAGAAGAGGGTCAGAAAAGAGATTTGCATGTCAAGTAGTAATAGGCTTGTCCTGAGCACAGACACGCACACTACTAAGCTGCAGTGTGTGTGTTTGTGTGCATGTTTTTCCTCCTGTGGGGCGCCACTGCACCAATCAGAAGGACATTACTTTAGTCTGACTACTGTGCATCTAAAACCTGTAAAACAAACATACAGTACATACAAATGTACTGTATGCATTGTGTTTGTGTCGGTCACTTTGATGCTGCTCGGCTTCTTCTTCTCCTTCTCCTGCTTCTTCATCTTCCTTAATGTCCCTCTGAGTCAGATTCTAATCATTCATCACTCTTTTTCAAACCGCCTCCCCCATTCAGTCCACACTTATCGCCACAACCCCTTCATTTTTCATGTTCTCTCTCTCAAACCTCATTATCTTCTCTCTGCCTCCACCCTCCTCCCCCACTTTCTATCATCACATACACACACAGATACACAATAGCAGTACACGATAGCAGCCAGTGGGCGCACACACGCGCACACACACACACACACACACACACACACACACAGACTCATGAGCTGACTGTCTCTTATTCTTCTTCTCTATTTATTTTCTCTCTGCACTCTTTTACATCGATGGGTTTCCTTTGAGCTTGTCAGATGAAATTCATCCATTGTTCATTTTCTATCTTGGAACTTTAAAGTAATGAACTGGCTTTGTGAATTAAAAAAAGTGATTCCACCTGAAAAATAACCCACAGCCAGTGAGCGCTTGTTGACTGAAATTACATTTTAGACGAGCCCAGATTTTTAAAAAGCCTCTCTCGCTTTTGATTTCCTGTCTTCGCTCTATTCTCATCTCTATAATAAAGACTTTGAAATGCCCCCCTCAATAGTAATCAATTATCATGCGGTATTACTGTTGTTGCCCGTCCAGTTGGCCACACAGAGAATCTACCAAAATGAGCTATTTTCTGTATTCAGCACAGAGCTCTCTCATCTGTTACCTGGTCTCTCTTTCTTCTCCTCCTCTCTTTGAAATGGATTTGTCGAGGCTAAAATTACACCTGCTCCTCAACCAATTACCTGAACATTGGTCCTCTCGTCAGCTCTCGGTGCATTCACGCACACACAAGCAGAATGTCAACCTAGTCCATCAACTTGCTTGTGAGTTCTTATGACTTTCATTCACCCTTGCAGACTTTGCACACAACACGTACAAACACACACA